CCTTTAAAATTGCACCTGTTATGTCTTTTAAATTATGCAAAGTTTATGTCTCAATGATTGCATATATTGCCCATGGAAATTTGTGGGGGTGTTTGTATGGTTAGTTCGGGTTTTTAAACCAAAGTTTTAAATCAGTGGTCAATCTCAACCTCTAAACTGGTTTAATTTCCCTGCAAGCACTGTAAAGTCAGATGCAGTAAATAAACCTCTCTTTAACACACACCGTGTCTTTAAGAGAGAGAGAGAGAGAGAGAGAGAGAGAGAGAGAGAGAGAGAGAGAGAGAGAGAGAGAAAGAGAGAAGCAAGGGGGAGAAAGAGGGAGAGGTCTGACTTGGTTTAGTATCTTTTCCTGCTCCTCATGCAAGTAACCTCTCCCCTTCTATTTAGCTGAGCTCTGCATGGCAAAAAGTAGCATATGAAGAAATCTAATCAGTACCTTCCATACACAGTACAGGAATTTACACGGATTTGTGCCTTGGATTTATTAGCTTATTGTAAGCCTTAAAACAGATTTCCTCCATTAAAATTAATTAAAAGCTCCTGTTGACGGATTCCCACTCCGAAAAGAAGGTGGGGAGTATTATTCTCCTACTTTGCTGATTGTTTATTTATTTTATGGGGTATTATATCATGTTCAAGAGAGGTCTTTTCAGCTGCTTGACTTCTTTTTGCGACCTGCTATTTTTTGTTCATACACCATACCCACCCACTCACTCACACCCCTCCCCACCCCCAAGCCCCCGCAGTATTTGTTCTTATTTTGTCAGATCCCCGTCTAACTCATCAGGTCTCTGAGCGGCTCCTTTGTATGCCGAAGTCCTGATCCGATTCTCTTAACCTCGCCCCCACCCACTCACCGCCAGCCCCGCTCCGGAGGCTGCTGTTGGGAATCTGATGGATCCTCCTGCCGGGCGCAGCTCCCGACTCTCCACGTAGGTTCCTTAATACTTGGCAGAGCCGCGCTAAACCGGCTGCCTCTTCCAAGCAAGGCTCACCTCTAAAGATCCCGTTTCTCCGAACCACCTCCCAAATAGTACTGCTGGTGGTGCTCACACAGGCGCCCTGCTGGTCCCCCTGCCGCAGGGGTAGTGCTCGGCTCTGCCCTCCCCACGGGCTGGGGCCAGGATCGGCACCTTCCCGTTCGCCACTGAAATGCGACTGGCAACGCGGGCACCCGGGATCCGGCTGCAGCCGCCAGCTCCGCGCCCCGCTCCTGAGCCATACGCGGGCGTAAAATATCCCGGGGACCCTCCTAGCACTTGCTGCCGGCCATTCATAAATCCCTGCGTGTGCGTGCCCGGCGCCGCGGACATGGGGCTCTAAGGAGGTGGAGGCGATATTTCTGACACAGACTGATCCCGGCTCCTCAACTTTGCCAGCTCGGAAAAGGCAAAGGGCACCGCGGCTTTAAATCGCCCGGGGCTAGAATTACCAGGAAGGAAAAGAGAGAGAAATGAAATCCCAACCGTACCTGGCGGCGTCTGGGAATCCCTCGCCGGCACCGATCGTAATCCCCCTCTGCGCCTCTGGCCTCTCGCACCAAAACTTTGCTGCCGCCGCCGCTCCTTGGTGGTGGCCTTCGCCGCCCTCCTCCCGGTACCGCTCCCGGCCGGCCCCGCGGGCCCGTTCCCCGCCGGCAGCCGCCGCTCCGAGCGACCCCCACGCCTTCCTCCGCCTTTACGAGGCGGCGGCATCATCCTCCCCCCTGCTCCGCCACCTCCTCCTCCGGCGCGCAGCCCGCGGCTCTGGCATCCCCAACGCACTTTCTCTCCTCGACTCGCTCTCTCTTCCCCCTGCCGTTCCTTCTTCTCC